TCTCTCTCTCTCTCTTTTTGCTTACCACAGTGAAAGTAGTAGAGAGTTACTGGCACTGTTGGGGTATTCTGCATCATTGCCCTTTTCCGCATTTTTATTTTTACTCTATCACTGGCAAAGCAAACCGGTGAGTGAGTGCAGAAAGGCTGCTCACTACCGGTTGACTAGGTGATCTGCTATGTTCTGTAACAGTGTGTTGCACTCTGGTTGATTTTAGTACATCAACGATTGAAAAGAGTGAACCATACTTGTGCCTTTTGCTTTTTGCCGCTTTGTTGCATTCGGCATGTACAATTATTAATTTATTGTGATGCTGATGTTGATGCTGCTTTATTGAAAAATAAAAAACTGGTGAAGACTTGTTTCAATGGCTGGTAAAACTGGGCAGTTTAAAAATTATTAAATTGGATACTGGCTAACTTTACAAAAAGGCAATGTCTGGTCAAGTGTTGGAGTAAGTGATTGCTCAAACTTAAAAATTAGTTATAAAAATTTTTTAATGATAATGTCTAGATATCACTTGCTGAGGACTTTTATATTAAAAACTTTATTTTAATTAAAAAAAATTTATGGGTTTTACCTGATTGATATTTAAAAACACAAAGTATAAAAATCAATGTAAAAATACAGTAGTTTCAAACAATAAAATGTTTTAAGTAAAACAAAATAGATAAAGTAAAAATTAACAATTTTTAATAAAAAACTTTTTATGTTACATTTGCTCCATTTGCTCTATGCCAGCTATTTTTATCTTTTATCAACACACATGTTCAGTATGCAAAGTATTTTTCTGTTTTTTCATTTTGGCCTTGAATGAAACAAATGTGATGCGACAATGTATGGCAGTTGTACGTGCGTGTCAGTTCATGTGAAGGCACACACACTGGTAATGTGCATAAGGAAAAGAGTGAATGAATCACTGGTGGCCTGATGTCATTGCCTGGATGATCAGTTAATGATGTCACCCTCTTTTCAGATCTCTGCAGATCATCATCCTCGACCTGGTAATGACATTCACAGTCTGCTTTTGCAAAGACGGCAAACATAGATAGTTAGGTATCATTGTCATCCGGCGCAGGTAAAATTGTGTCAATTCATTCACATACTCTGCATGCTACCGTATACTGGTGCAGGTACTTTTTAGAGGTACTAAATGACGACAAACAAACCTTAAAATATCTGTTCAATCACTGCCGATAAGAAAAAGTATGCACTCGCGTCTTCCTTCTTTGCATTTGATGTTTTGCGTTTTTCAGACAAAACACAAGATTCAAAAACATGTGTGAAACATTTGTATTATTTGCACTTAAACTGACCGACACTTAGTGGGCAGACAACTTTTTTTGCCACCTTCACCTTGATTATATTTTTGAGCAAAAAAAGCTAAAATCATGAACAACATCATCCGCCACCGTACACCGGACACTGGTTGGGCGTGGGTCATTTCGGTGTCCATTGGCGCCATCAACGGTTTAACTTTTGGACTGATTCGATCCTTTGGCGTCTTCTTCTTCTACCTGCGACAGGAGTTTGAAATCAGTCGTCAGGTGGCCAGTTGGCCTTTTGCTCTCTGCACTTCTTGTACCTACCTAACTGGTCCTATTACCGGTCTACTGATTAGTTATTTTCACCTGCGGACGATCGTCTTTGTGGGCATCCTTTTTACGTCGGCCGGTTTCGCCAGTTGTTTTTGGGTTACTGACATCAGCCAGATTGTCGTTCTTGTCGGTGTCGTTCATGGTAGTAAATTGTGGGATAATGTGCTAAGTAAACGACTAGTTTATGGTTTATTTTATTTCAGGATTTGGCATTGGTCTTTCTTACATGCAGACGCCGGTAATCATTGCTCAGTATTTCACCCGGTACACTGCAACTGCTACTGGTAAGATTTAATGCTGAATAGTAAACATATTACCTTTAAAACACCCGACAATTTTAAGCCATTTCCTATGCTGGTGGAACAGTGGGCTCCTTCATCTTTCCGCCGTTAATCGAATCGGTCATTGCCAACTACGGCCTGAAAGGCAGCTTTCTCATCATTGGCGGCATTCTCCTCAACGGCCTGCCCTTTGCGATGCTGCTCAGGCCGCCGATTCCCGCTGATGAAGGCAGCTTTTCACTTGCGCATTCACATCAAAAATCAACCAACGAGACAAAGGTGGAAAACAATAGAACTACAAACAAAAACAAACAATCAACTCTTACTTCTTTAGTTGAAAACAGCAACAATAAACCTTTGTTGAATCGAGCCACTCTCAGTCGACCTTCACTGCGCCCCGGTCTACACCACAAACTAAAGCGGAAGCGTTCAGGCAACGAAAGCAGTTGGCTGTACCTGCGCAAGTCATCTTTAGATTTGTTTTCTGAAAAGATACACAGCTCGCAACTGAGCAGAAACAGCAGTTTTGTGTCGGCTCACTCAGAACTGACCGGTCATCAAATGCCTGCTGAAACAACTGATGAAAATACTATTTCTACCACCGCCATCACTAACAGAAGACACAGCTTCAATCTGGTCACTTCGACGTCTACCTACTTTTCAGCAGAAAACATCAAAGTGCACAAGAAGCAGGCCAAAACGATGGGCGCCCAGTTTGGTGAGACGGAGCTGCTGGTGATGGAGTCTATGGTCGGCAATGGGTCGATTAGCCGAAGAGCTAGTAAACGAATTTCAACAAGTTCTAAAAATAGTATTTTTAAGGAGAATGCGACTGTTTCTCCAGGACAAACAACAAAAGCAGAATCTACCACCACAACTAATACGACGACTACTGTTTTTGTGTACCCCACTTCTTCTTCCTCTGCCTCCTTTTCCGCCCATCTTCTTCATCCCAATCACTCCTACTCTGCCCAACAACAACAACAAACACAACCCTTGTTGCCTCATCAACTCTACTCGCCCTCTCTGCCCTCATCACCCTCCTCCACCTTGGACAGCCAATCTCAGCTTCCGCACCCAAATCTTCCGCCTCGAAAGACCGTCAAGCACAAGTACTGCCAGACGGTGCTGACGGCAAAGCCGACTCACTTCGCCCACACCATGGCCTCCATCATCACCAATCCAATGTACCTCATTCTGCTGATCACCCACGTCAGCTTCCAGTGGGCGTGGATGACCTACCAGATGGTCATCTTCGACTTTGGCATCGACCAGCAACTGAGTCGACAACAGTCGGTCTCCATACTGATCGGCTTCGCTGTCTCCGACCTTTTTGGCCGCATCACCTCCGGTTGGATCGCCGATCGGCAGATCATCAAGAAGAACCACATCGTCTCCATTTGCATCCTCTGCATTGGCTTCTTCATCCAACTGACCTCGATGATCAGCAGCTACCGAACACATCTGACGCTGACGGTGCTGCTCGGCTTCACCTGCGGCGTCATCATCGTCCTCTTCAACCTCCTTACCATGGAGTACGTCGGCCTGGACAACCTGCCAGTCGCCCTCGGTCTGTCCGCCTTCTTTGTGGGCGTCACCAGTCTGGCGCGCCCCTACGTCATTGGCCTTTTTCGCGACGTCATCGGCAGTTACATTGGCCTTTTTCGCTTTGTCGGTACGCTCTCCTTTATTGCCGCCCTTCTCTGGTTGATGGAACCGTTTGCCATTTTGCAGTCTAAACGGCGGACAACCAGTGACCGGCAGACGGGTTCTTCGACGGGCAGTAGTGTTTAGTAGCAGTTTGCTTGTTTGTTTGTAAAGTTTTTACGATGATAATGACTGGTTTAAGTTTGTCAATGTTCAAAAGNACGGGCAGTAGTGTTTAGTAGCAGTTTGCTTGTTTGTTTGTAAAGTTTTTACGATGATAATGACTGGTTTAAGTTTGTCAATGTTCAAAAGCAAATTTTTAAAATAATTTAAGGTTTTTAAACTATCAGTTTGCATTTTAAAATATTTGCGCTCCGTGACTACCAATACTGATAAGTGATCGGCAAAAAATGAACTTTTTTCCTAATTAACTAGTACAAGTGTTCACTTTTCTGTATTGTTCGGCATACCTGCTGTTGTTTGGGTGATACACGGCAGTCACAAGGTAAAGAAGAATTTTTTAAGTAAAACAACATTATTTATCTTTTTATCTTTTGTTTAACAAAAATGAAGTTTTTGTATCTGGGTTGTTGATTTGCTATATAAAGTCGACCACTTTGCTTTGATTGAGGTATACAAAACAAACATCTTTAGTTATCAAACAAAAAACAACCATGAAGTTTGTCATTGCCTTTTTGGCGCTGGCCACCCTTGCCACCGCCACAAGTGAGCTCTTCTCTGAAAAGGAGCTGGAAACTCATTTCACCCTTTTCAAGGTAACTTTATTTAACCAAAGTTTACTTTATTTACATTTTTTCTTATTTATCCTTAGACTGAGTATGGCCGAAACTACAACAACGCTGAAGAGGAAGCCTACCGAAAGAGCGTATTTGCGAGCAACCTTGAGTTCATTCTGAAGCACAACCGAGAGTACCTGGCCGGCCGGAAAACCTTCACCGTGGGGGTGAACGACTTTGCCGACATGACCAATGCCGAGTTCCGTGCCCGTTTCAACGGCTTTAAGGGGCACTCCGCCGGTTTTGCTCGATCCTCTCTCAATCGAAAAGGTACCTTTGAGGTGGAGTCTGTTGAGGGACTGCCCAACAGCACCGACTGGACTAAGAAGAACGCCGTGACGCCGGTGAAGAACCAAAAGCAGTGCGGCAGCTGGTAGGCACTGTTGTACATTTGATAATCTTTTTTGTGCAACACTAACATCTTTGCTTCCTCCCCACCCCTTTCAAGCTGGGCCTTCTCCGCCATTGCCGCCATCGAGGGCCAGCACGCGCTGAAGACCGGCAAGTTGGTGTCCCTTTCCGAGCAGAACATCGTCGACTGCTCCCACAATGGCCATGACGCCGGCTGCGGCGGCGGTCTGATGGACTCCGCCTTCGACTACGTCCTCACCAACGGCGGCGTGGACACCGAGGAGAGCTACCCGTACGAGGGCCGGGACAACCGGTGTCGCTTCCGCAATAAGACCGTCGGCGCCACCATCGACGGCTACCTCGACGTGGGCCAGGGCTCGGAGAGGTCGCTGCAGGCGGCCGTCGCCCACTTCGGGCCCATCTCCGTGGCCATTGACGCCAGCCAGCCGTCCTTTCAGCTGTACAAGAGTGGCCTGTACAACGAGCCGGAGTGCTCCTCCGTGCACCTCGACCACGGCGTCACCGCTGTCGGCTACGGCGCCCTCAACGGGTCGCCCTACTGGAAGGTGAAGAACAGCTGGGGCGTCGAATGGGGCGACAATGGCTACATTCTCATGTCGCGCAACAAGGGCAACCAGTGCGGCATCGCCACAGCGGCCTCCTTTCCCCTCATTATCTAGTGCTTAGTGGGGAGAAAAAACACTTGAAACACCCTAACACAATTAATTACCTAGATGCTAGATTGCTAGTGCTATAACTACATAATCAAAATTAAACGGATAATATTTTAATGTGAAAAGCTGTTTTACCAGTTAAATCTCAGCTCTCTCTCTCGGTCTCTGACGTCGACGTCAAAGTTGATGCACAAAATGACCGCTTTCTCCTTGTTTCCTCCTTCACTTGAGTTGATCAGTTTGGCCGTCACTGAAGATTTTGTCGTGGGCAGGAACCGGGGCAACACCAGGTCGTAGCCAAAGTGGTAGGTACGTCCACTGACCAGTGGACAGGTGAGGTGGTTGCAGCCGTCAGATTCCACACCGGGCACGACCATTTCAATGCCTGAACCGGCCAGTTTGGCGCGAATCTGTATCTCAACATTGCTCGCATTTTGGTTGGCAATGAAATCGCCCGCCAAATGAACAGACTCTCCTTTGAAAATGACGCAGGCAGCAGAATTACTGGTGCACCCACTTAGCTGCAGGCTTTTCACTTCGCCGTGACCTGTTGAAGTCGTGTTGTTTAAGTTATTTTAGTTTGAAAACTTTGCACTAAAAAACATAAAGTGAGTTACCGCAATCCGTAAAGTGAAATGATGCTTGGCAAGCAGTTGTTATGATTGTTAAAATCATAAATAAGCATTGCAATGTACAAAACAGTTTAGCCATGTTTTTAATAATAAAAGATGTTTTGTATTTTGATCATAAAAAATTTGAACAACTTATGTTTTTATACCCAAGCTTATTTATACTTTTTTAACTAGCAATTGCACATGCACCTCAGAAGTGTTGTTGTTGATTTTGGTATAGAAACTTGACTCAACTAATCTGTCATTGTTGAAGTTTGCAGCAACTTGAGCAACAAATTACGATAGTTTGCAGATAGTCGTACTAATTTTGATTATCAATAGCAGCGTCAATCCCATTGTTGTTTATCAAAGTCATCTTTGTTGTTAAGTATTAAAGATCGAAAAGCACTTTTGTGGTAGTGTCTAGCAAAAAAAATTGTAAAACAGCCAAACTTGTTTTTATTACATTTTAGTGAACACTACTTTCTTTTATTGTAAAATAAAACGTTCAACTTGCGTTACTTATAACATTTTGTTTACTGTTTACCGCCGAGAGACAAGGGTTTCAAAGGGCGTCGTGGAAAGGGCAAACTGGAGCGTGTTGAAGCCGAGCACCTTGGGCGTAGTGGGCGTCGCCTGAAAGCGGAACCGGCGCATCACCGTGGCGACGCACAGCTTAATCTCCTGGTAGGCAAAGCGCATGCCGACGCCTAAAAAGAAAATAAAAATTTTAAAAATGAAAAACTTTAACTATCATTAAAGGTAATTAAAGGTAATTAAAGGTAACTTAAAATTTCGAGGCCCTATTCCGAAAGGCATGTACGTGTAGGGGACCAGCTTGTGGGCGTTTTCCGGCAAAAAGCGCTCCGGCAAGAAGCGGTCCGGCTCAGGGTAGTACTAGTAATTAAATAACGGAGTGTAAAATTATTCAAATTTTGAAATTTAAAATAAGGAAAAACAAAACAAGAAGTACCTCTGGATTGTAGTGCAGTGCGTAGGTGGGAATCTCCACCAGTTGATCCGCCTCCAGCTCAATGCCGCCCACTTTGTAGCCTGCCTTACTACAACGACGCTCCAAACGATTCAGTGGCGGGTACTTGCGCAGCGTTTCACTGACGCAGGCGCTCATAAAGGGCAAACTAGTGCTTGACATGACTGTATTGTAGTACTGCTCGGAGGACGGGTCCAGCTGATTCAGCTTTTGGCTCAGCTCGGTGAACAGTCGCTCTTGGGCCGCCTGATCGTGTGACAGCTCAAAGATTAAATGCTAAAATAAAAATTGTTAAAAGTTTTTAAAAAACATTAAAAAGTCAGAGCTACTAACCGTGAGAGCGCTGGCCGTCGTGTCAAAGCCGGCACCAAAGAAGAGCATGCACTGTGCGGCGACCTCATTGTCCGTCAGACGGTTCTTTGTTCCTGAACCACCATTGTTGCAGTTTTTGTTAGAAAATGCCCCCTCAAAGGTAAAGTTCTCCTTTGACATGTCCGCCGTCAGATGGTCATAACTGCGTTCACCACTGTGGCCGACGCTGTCGATCATTTCCTTGCTCACCTCGGCATCCAACAACAACTGCATCAGGTCGGGTCGCTTTTTTGCTGCTTGGGAAGAGTGCTCTTGTACCTTTCGCTTCCTGATCATCTCCTTCACCAGACCGGTCATGAACTCGGTGGACTGAACGTTGGCCATGTGGTGTACGCCCACCAACTTGTTGAACCACTTGGGCATGGCCACGGCACAGATCATCTGCAGGGCAGGCACTTCGCCCCACTGAAGCGCGTACTTCACCACCTGATTCTCACTGCTGCGGTCGTCATTGGCGTTGGTTTCAGTGGCAAAGGCGGCCAAGGAAATGCTGTCGATGGTGAAACCGGAGAGGACCTTCTTCGTCTCCACAATAGCTCTCCCGGTTTTTTCCGAGAAAGGGCACTTATTTGTTGCAGGTTGAGCCGTCATTTCCTTATGGGCCGTCAGGCGATCAAAGTAGGCGACCAGCTTGTCGACGCTCCGCTGAACGATCGGCTGCATCGAGCGCAGTTTTCCGCTGCTGAAAGCCGGCGAGGTGATCGCCCGCAGTCGTTTCCAATTTTCCCCCTCGCACATGAACTGACTGAGGTCGTTCATCTCGTGGGAGGTCTTCAGCGCCCGTCGATTGACAAAGTACTGAAAATCTTTGGTCGTCACCTGCTTGACCGCTTCAGGGTCGGCCACGGTGAGCGTTGGCTGCAGGCCGCTGTAAGTTCCGTAGATGGGTCCAAACTGGCGGACCAAGGCGACTTCGTTTTCCGGCGGAAAGGGATGGCCGGCGGTTTGCATGGTGTTGCCAAAGGCGAGCAGTGATGGCTTCGGTCCGACCACACCTCGCCGAGACCAGTAGCTGTACTTCCGGGCGACATAGCTGATATGGGAGTTTTAGTTAAGCACAAAAATTGGCATTTAATTTTAGCTGATCTACTTACAAGTACGCTACCGCAAAAAGGGGCACAATGTGTAGTAGAAGGTAGAGCCACATTCTGGGGATAAATGATAAAAGGAAAATATTTTAATAAATGACAATATGTTGTTGTTGTTGTGTTTGTCTGAATTGAAATGTCGCTTATATACAAAGTGGCACACGTGACCCTTTTTAGTTGTGCCAAGTGCAATTACATTACACTTTGTTAATCATTTTTTGTAGTGCAAGTGTGTTTTTTACTTTATTTGTTAAGTTGGCTTTTTATCACTAGCCAAAGTATGAGTTTCTTACATTTAACATATTTTGCAATTTGAAAGTTTTTCAACTTACACTTTGGCAATACTTTTTTATCATTTGTGACAATTTTTTATTTTCAATATAGGCATTTGGTCATTTGATAACGCTCCGACATTTTTCTGACATGTACGATTTTTGTAAGTTGGGAGATAGCAAGGTTTATATCATTTAACTTTATTTGTGTTTTGCAATTTAAAATAGCAAATTAGTTACAATAGTTTGTTTAGATTTGTTTATCAACAAACACAAACATTTTAAATTTGTAAAAAATAGTTGAATATGCAAAAATTAAATGCAATTTTTATATAACTTTTTAATTACAATAAAAATATCATTTTGAATTGTTACTGTGTAAATTTTATTTAGTTTGTTGCATTTTCACAAAAATTTAGCTGTTTAAGAATCAAAAACATTTTTAAAAATTTTAAAAAAGTTTTCATATTTAAATCTATCAGTTACAACTACCTATTAATTTGAACTTAAACACTAATTAAACCATACAAATGTTTTTCATTTAAAGTAAATCAATCCTCCTTTTTCGGCGTGCCACCGTTAATGTCGTCTTCAATTCCGCACTCTCCAGCACCTCGCAGAATCTTAAAGTAGCCCTTGTCACCCCTGAATAGTTTTCAAAAATGTTAACCAAAGTCATCAAAACAACAAACAAATCTCGATTTTTCATACCAGTCAGTGTTCCAAGAGTTGGCACAGAGCCAGTACTTGACGCCATTCTCCACGCCCCAGCCGAGGATGCGAATCGCATGCCCGCCCAGTGCTTCCCGCGAGTGTCGCTGGTAGACGCCTGATTTGTACTGCACAAAGTCGGCGTACACGGTGAAATCAGCTTCAACTGGGCCTGAGAGGTAAAAAAAGATTTTAGTGAGTTTTTATTTAATCTTGCTGTCACACTAACCATTAGTGGAGATCTCCTTCATGATCTGCTTCTCATTGCTCAGAACAGTGTACGCCCGGGTGGCGTAGTGCTTGTCCTGGCTGTAGGTGCGGTTGTAGCCGTCAATGCACCGTTTGGTGCACCTCGGCGTCGGCAGAATGTCGCTGCACGGCGGCCTGTTGCCGGTGGTGTGGTGCTCACAGGCAGGAATGGCGTACGGCTGACAGCCGAGGTGGGAGTTCCACAGACCGCCCGACACCAGACCGTGACTTTTGTAGTAGCTCCAGGCGGCGGAAGGGAAGCCGCCGTTGCAGCCCGACCCACAGCCGGAACAACAGGTCAGCAGATCTTCGGCGGAGACCTCCACCTGCAGCTTGCCGCCAGAAGCAATGCAAATGCGGTCAGACATGGCCTCGGCGGCGCCAAAAGCCCTAAAAAGAGAAAAAATGATTTTAAAAAGCCATTCTTTTAAGATAAAACAGCAAATCTATGTACGTACCAGCATGAACCTATTGAAAAAAAGTGTTTAAATTAGTCAATGGTTAGGAAACTAAACATAGGTTAGTAACATTTACCGCAGCTTCCCTGGTCGCGAATCTCGCTAATGGAACGGCACTTGGGCCAGGCAGTTCGAGAGTCAAATGACTCGGGCAGACCGGATACGTCATCGTGAAGTAGGAGCGGCAGTCGAACGGGCGAATCCTCCTTTGGCTTGACGCCCATCAGACCACGGATGTAACTTTCCGGAACTCGGCGACCAAAGTTGCGACCAGCCTTTAGAGGTTAAAAGTTTAAAAAGTTAAACAGAATCAAATAAAACTCGGTTTTTCGCAACCCTACCTTCCAGGTGGTGTTGATGAAGTTGACAAAGTCAATCAGCCGGTCGGAGAGCATGGGCGTCTGGTGGGGCACCATCAGGCGCTGGGAAACGTCCAGTGAGGCCGATCCCCACACTCGGGGCAGTCGACCCTCTACTTGCACCAGCTGCAGAACCGCAATGGCGGCCACCAAAAGAAAAAGAGGATTTCGGTGCATCTTTTGGCTGTGCCCGCTCAGACGTCAGAAAAAAACTTTTGTTGTGTACTGACAAGGGTTTGGAATTTAATTTAAAAACTGCTTAAAAATTCAGTAAATCAGTTTAGCTGGCGCAGTTCTTCTTCTTTTTGTCAAGTTTTTGGGCAAAACGACGCAGTTATATAAATGCAACGGTTGCCCAAAGTAGTAATCAAAAGCAGAAAAAATATTGCAGCTACGCACTTTTTCTCCACTATTTGCCTGGAGATAAGTGAAACAGCCTGATCAGGCTGGCTAGTTTTCAAAAACGCCTGATAACTTAAGCATTATTGTGGTTAGCTGACTGAAAGAGCCTTTTCTTATCTATGAAATAGTGCTTGGTGATAGCAAACTTGTGATACTGCGCTTGACTTTCTTTGTTTGCAGCAAACCCAAAACTCAGCATCAAAGGCCCCTCTTTTTCAAAGTTGAGTGTCTACAGAGTGTCAGATTTTGTTTAGTTTTATTTTTATTATATATGTAAGCAAATCGCAATTAAAACAATGTTTTATTGCAAAACACCCTGTAAACTTTGAAATATCTAAACCGATAGAAGCAAGTTTAGCCAGTCAATGTACACTTGCGTTCATTGATCTATTAATGCAAGTTCTAAAAATTTTTTAAAAAGTTATTGCAATGAACAACACATTTAGCGTGTGTGCTTCACAAAATAATAGAAGAGTTGAGTAGTTTTATATTTTTGCAGAAAGTAATTGCACAAAAATTAATCAGTGATAAACATGTGAAGAGAATTTGCAACAAACCAAAAGGACAAGTGTGTAGTGCAGTGTTAAAACTGTATTGCAGTTGGTTAAATGTGATATTAAGCTGATGTACATTTGTGGTTGACTATTAATAAATAAATACAAAAATTGCACTAATATTTAGAATTACCGCGTAGAGCTCATTGGTGAACAAAATAGTATTGCAGCAATTTGATTTAAATAAGTGTAATTTTTTTGCATTTGGCATGCAGAAAATACATGCTTTATAGCAAGTAATCAATGCCATGTAATTTAGATCAATTTTTAAATATGATAACATTAGGTGGGAGTGCAAAAGTGACTAAGCTTAGAGCTAATATTGAAGAATTCTTGATTTTCATGTTTGTGTAATGAGTTTGTGAAAATTAGTGTGTAAGTGTGGGTGTGTACTACATTTTGACATCAACGTGGTTGGAATGGTCAAATAACACCGTTTAAAGTTTAAAGTTGAGAATTACAAAAATGTGAGTGCTACATAAACAAGTTTTTATATCAGGATTTTAAACTTGCAAGTAGTTAATCTAATGTACCTGTTTGTAGTATGTGAATTTAAAAAATTGCAATTATCAAAGAAAAAGTAAAATAAAAAATAAGCAAAACAAGAAATTAGTTTGCGAACATTAGAGCATTGCAGTTGGTGATAGTTTGTTAGTAACTAGAAAACTAAACATTTAAGCTTTGATTTTAAAAGAAAACAGAAATTATGAGTAACTGATCACGGACGGGGGACATGCAAAGAACAAAAATGCATAGACGGTTGTAAAGTTGGCGGAGTTGGTCAAAGTGGTTAGGTTGGGTAGGGTTGAAGCAAGTTAAGCAGTTGTTGTTGTTGCTGTTGTTGTTGTTGCTTAGAAGCATCAAGACAAGACGGAAGCATTCAGCAAATGTAATTGCTGGTGGGGACAGAGGAAGAAGCAAGCAATCCACTGATCATTTGAAAGCTGGTTCACTGGTCTGTTTGTGGTGAACAAAAAAAGCATTATTAGTTTAAACGGTCATAAAGATTAGACTAAAATTTGGCTGTTATCAACAGTAAAAAAAGTGATGTGAGTGATTGATAATCGAAAAATGAAATAAAAAAGTTTAAAAAATATAAGTGTGTATAGGTGCTAGTGTTCAATGTTATTCCTCTTCCGCCTCTTTTTCCCCCTCTTCAACATTCATAATCTCATCATTATCTCCCAGGTTCTCCTTGTTTTCCTCTTGATCCTCATTAATATCATCGTTTTTATCGGTGTTTATCTGCTCCTTCAGATCATCGGCCACCTCCTCCAGGTCGACCTCTTCGCCTTCGGTAGCGAGAAGTTCATCAACGTCGATGATCCGCCCGCCCACCTCGATTTTTCGATCGGGCGGTATGGTGTAGACCACCCCGTTGATGGTCACCTGCTCAACAACCTCCTTTTTCTCCTCTTCCTCTTCGTCTTCTACCGTTTCCTCGTTTTTCTTCTCTTCCTCTTTTTCTTCTTCCTTTGGCGGCTCTCGCTGATCTGGTGGAACAAAGAGGTCATACTCGCCTTGTTCACCGTTGCCGTTCTCAATGGCGACGTCCTCCTCCAGTTTCAGAAACTTAAACAGCTCGTCGTTGTCGTTGGCCGTCTCAAGATCTTCGAAGTCCTGTAAGAAAACGTTATAGTGGTTGTTATTTCCAACAACAGGAATAGATTTGTTGTTTATGTGTTTTATTCTAGGTCTTACCCCGCAATACTCGTCTTCATTGTAAAATTGCGGCGGTTGAGGTGGCTGTGTCTCAGTACGACGCTTTGCCTCTCGCAGCATCTTCTCTCGTGACAGTTCCTCAACTGGATCGCTGACGTCCACCATCTCGTACTTGATCTTGTACGAGTCCAACAGGAACTGCGCCCTTAGCTGGTGCTTCTTAACCTGATAAGTGATATGACAGGTGATTAAAAACATGCTAAACAAGGCGTTTAACAATGCAGCACTGTAGGTTAATTAGCAGTATAATCATTCGTGTGAGTGTGCGTTTGTTTTACGCCAGCATCGACAACTGCTTACTTTTTTTCGTTGAGTTCACTAATCTAAACATACAACAAAGGACTGCCTGCCTGACTTACTGACAAACAAAAGAACTGAAAAGGGGAAATGAAAAAATACTGCAACAAGTAAAAATAGCTAAAAATAAAGGCAAAAGCTGAAACGGACAGATTCTGGGGAGGCTAAAATTAGCTAAGTATATGAGAAAGTTCATAGAAAAGAGAAAAAAGAATAAAAAATAAGAGAAGGTAGAAGATGTGCATGCACGATTAAGCGTGGCAAGCAATAGAAACACAGAGCTAACGTGAGGACAAAAACGATTGAAAGAAAGATGGAAAAAAACAACAAATTTTGAGGGCATTGACATTTTTTCTTGCTGACAGTTGCTTGCTAATCAAAACTGGATTACTGCTAAGCATTATTTGCAGATTTGCTTACCTCTTTTGACGCCGAAATACCAGAGAAAAACATTTTAATGACCATTGTGACTGTGATTTGGTGCTTTTTATTGGTGCAAAAGTTTGTTGTAGCTTGTGAGTTTGTTAAACTAGTAAAGTGAAATGTTGTTTATATATTTGCCAAAGATAAACTTGATGTTTGTCTATAATGAAAAACATAAAATTATTAAGTTTTTTATTAAGTTTTAAAAAATTATTTTATTTGTAAAAACTAAATATTAAATTGATTTTTACATTTAATTGTTTGACTGTCGGGGAAGCATCATTCGACGACGAATGTGCAACGCTTGTTGACGGCGAGCAGTAGCACGAGCATTCAATGCAGTTAATTTATCTTGGAAACAATAGTACAGAAAAATAACTATCATGGAAAAGATAAGAACCATTTTTCGTAACTTTAAATGTACTTAAAAATACTATACAACACAATAAAATTTAAAATTTATTTTTTAAAACTTAACGAATTTAACGAGTTCAATTTTAACTTTATCGGTCAAATGTGGTGTAATTTAAAAAAGGCTTACAGCGATCGACACAAAAGTTTTATTTTCTTTGTGTTAGAAAATAAAACTACAAAATAATCGACATCAGCCACAAGGGCAAATTAATTAACTTAGCGCGCAAGAAAACCGTAAGTTTAAAACTTAACTTTTTTCTAGTGAATTTTTTATATTTTTGTTTTATTTTGACAGCTAATTTCTTAATTAGAAAATAAATTAAAAAATTAAACCGTTGAAAAAATGTTTTTGCTTTTAAAAGTAAGTTTAAAAACAAATAACAAACAAAAGTAATTTATCGTTTTCTAATTGTTCGTTTTTAACTAAAAATACAGTTTTTTAATTTTACTTAATGAACCGCAAAACAACGTACAAAATAATTAACTAAAAATGCAATACTAAAAAATTAAAGTTATGTTTATTTTAAAAACAAGAATTTGAAGTATTTAAACTAAGTTATAAAAATTAGGCATTTTTAAATTTTATTTTACCTGATAATTTTTGAGTAAAATGAAAAACAACAGATCAAATGATATTTGTTTGTTTTTTAAAAAATTAATAAATAAATGTTTCAAACAACAATAAAGTGTTTTAGTTAGGAATGCACAAATTAAACGTTACACAAAACAAAATAATGAAAATTAAAATTGCAAAACAAATTGTAAATCTGCTGTTTTTTAAAACTATTTTTAATATCGTTGTTTCAATGTTCACTATTACAACACTGGCAAAATAAAAAATAGAAAAAACGATTTGGCAGTTGTTGGCAAGAGACGCCGATTCCTGCCTGGTCTGTCTGGTTGCATTTGCAGATGCTTAGCAGTCGAAAAAAAGAGAAAAAAGTAAAAAGAGCATAATAAAAGAAAAGCTGCTAGGCAAAGACAAACAGTACAACTCCGATGTAAAGTGACTGAATTTTACGACAGAGAAGCACAGAAGAGGAAGCAAAGATGCAAAGTAGTGAAAACTTAGGAGATGTCTCTTCAAGAAGAAAAAGAAGAAGAAGACGGTTTGCCCCTCCCTATTGCTCGGATTCGTTTAAGGGCTGTTGCCGCCAGTGCTGTTACGGTTGCAATCGGTGCAAACTGGTGAAACGGCACAGCCGTCTTGTTTCATAAACACAAACACACAGAGACAAACACATAGACACTTACCGTTACAGTGACGGCGGTAGTTCTTCCTTCACTTGTTGGTGCACAGGCTCAAAGCAATGACCAGATGATTCTCTATGGGGAAGTTACAGTTCGGCTGTTGTGAGAGTTTAGATCTCAAAGGATTGGCGGTCTCCTTGCCGGTCAATCGACTGAATTGTGGCAATGGCGGTGGTGGTGATAATCTTGAAACCTGAATCCGGTTGTCCTGTGCTCTGTTCGGGTGTTGGCTGCAGGCAATTGCAGTGACAGCAGCAGTAGTGGTGGTGGTGGTGGTGGTAGTGGTGGTGGCAGCAAGTGCACACTTTACTGATAACAAAATCTACTTGCCAGTGAGTGTGTGTGTGAGTGTCTTGAAGTTGTGATTTGTCGTGTGGCGAGTGACTGACTGACTGACGCCTGGCGGCGTCGATAATCGACTTGAATGAGGCAGCAGAAAACTGGTCTGTCCGACAATAACAACAATAACAACAATGGTGCTGCACTGTCTGCTTAGAAGTGTGGGTCGGGCGGTCTGCGCTTTGTCTACCACTGTTGCTGCTTCGGAAGACGGCGCCAGTGGTGGATGATATCCTTTTGCGGATATCCACAGTCGGATAGTTGGTGAGTTGACTAGTTTAGAAAGAGAGAGAGAGAGGGAAGAAGCGAGACTTCTGGTGAACTGGAAGCGAGATACAGTGAAAGGATGCAATGAACTGCTGCAAAGGTTGCAGTTGCTGCTGTTGTGATTTCTGTTTTGCAAAGCTGCCAAGTTGCCAAGCTGCTGCTGCTGCTGTTGGTTAGCCAAACTGGCTGCTGCTGCTACCCAAAACATTGGAGCTGCTGGCAAGAGATGCTGCTAAGTGTCACGGGCAAATGGCTTTTCATAAACAAAAGACGTCATGGCAGACCAAAAAAGCGGTGGGCTCTGCTGACCACCAGCACACAGAGATATGTGTGACAAAAAAAAAGAAAAGAACGAGATTCTGCAATTGAATTTTTAGCCAGTGTTGCAAACTGATGGAGCCATTTTTTCGCTAATATGTTATCTTGCATTCTAAAGGCGCGCTCTAGCTGTGGGCTTCCCAATTACTTCTGGTGCAACTGCACTGATTGACATAAGAGTTTATAACTTAATAATGCTTATACTTAATAATTGAACAATTTTAGCGCAATTTTAAAATAGTCAAATAATGCAATGTACAATACAATCAGTGTTTTTATAAAAAAATTGAATTTTTTAACGAAAAAAATTATTAAAAACATATTTTATTTAAAATATATTTTTTTGTAAATTACTAACTCTAGTTTTTTAAACATCATTCAATCCATTTGAAAGTTTTCAAATTTATTTTTTATTTTTACATAAATTACTTATACTAAACTTTTGTTTAAATTAAAATTGAAATAAAAACTTAAAAAAAGTTTAATAAAAATATATTTTATTTTGACCTTGTTATTTGATATTTATTTTTAATAGCAAAAAAAAATTTAAGTTAATAAAACTCCCAGCAACAAGTTTAATTTTGTTTTATATCAATGACAACAATAAAGTTCGTACACTTTTACAATTAAAGAATGACATACTTTAACAAAATAATTTTTAAATAGATTAATGAGAAACAATCGATAAAGTTTTAAACTTGTATATTTACAAAAACAGTAATTTATTGAGGACATTAATTAATGCAATTTTTAAACACAGCTAAAAATGTAAAACAAATCTGAGAAACCAAGGATAACCAACGAGCTTCATATAAATATTTTACTTTCAAAAATAAGTATATAAAGAGAAAACATGTTCATTAGAAACCATCAATTCTTGCAAAGATGAATTCTTCTCTTTCTTTGTTTCTTTTCCTCTTTGTTGCCAGCTGTTTAGTTGTCGGCACATTGCAGTCATGCAGTGCTGGCTTTAACTCTGGTTTTCTCAGGGGGATAAACGAAGGTCGATCTTATCGTGGGGCCAAACCTCTAATGTTTGGTTTGGGCCTCAACAGCTACGCTCAAACTAAAGCCGAACAGATAGCGGCTATTGGTAAAAATTAGATAAAACTGTTAAGATACTTACAAATGTTAACTCTGAAATGTATTTTTTCTTTTTTAGGCAGTTATGATTATCGATATGAAGATCCCATGTATGGTCAAAATTACTTTTATAAAAATCCTGGCAGTTCAGTAGATGGATATGAGGTGCCCGTTTATTGGGCTCTCCAATCCTCTTGGTACACATTTCAAGGTCGTGAGCCAGACATGACCCATTACACCTGGTGGCGCCACTACACTCAGATGATGTGGAAAGGCAGCAGACTGGTGGGCGTTGGCTGTGCCCGCACTACAAATGGTACCAACATTGTAGTGGCCAACTTTTATCCCAAAGGAAACATTCCCGGGTTGTACGCCATTAATGTATGAACAAGTATGAAAAAGATGAGATGACACAGGTTTTGATGATGCGTGACTGATTTTTGAAGTTTTTTGCTTTTTGATTTTATTTAAACAACAATTTGTATACAACGACTACCGTTGCAATTTGGCCAACATTTTTATGTACTTTAAGTTATTTAAGTTATTTTGTGTTAAGATACTATCTAAACGAGCCCATTTTACTTGTTTTTATTTTATTGAAAAATTTGACTTATTTGAACTACTTGTTAAACAATAATAAATTGCGCATTTTTATTTGACATAAACCGTTTCTTGATAAAAAAACTTTGTTTATTCAACTGCTGATAATCGTTCATGTTTTTGTTTGTAATTGTTAATTAATTTTTCTAAGTCTAATTGTGTTTAACACTATTCACCAAACACAATTTGCATCAGACGGAAGTTTGCCTGTCAGCTGTTGCGCTTGCAATCATCAATTACCAATTGTTTGCACAAACGCAAAAAAAAGAAATTTAATCGTCAAATAACTTTACCCATACGCGTTTAATTAGCTTTAAAACATGTTCAACAACGTAAAATAATAGCAGTAAAAAGAAAAGCGTCTCTTGCTGTTTAAAATCTTTGTTTTGCCTAAGGGTCAGTTCACTTTCTATTAGGTCGGCGACATTGGCGACGATGCCAATGATAAATAAAAAGAATCAAGATAGGGAGATGCAGACTTTCATCAGTGAGGGGTAATATCATCGCCTCTGGACATGCACACAGCTGCATCAACAAAGTTGTAGCAGTAGCAGACGCAGAAGCACCTTTAAGCTATGTAATCAGATCAAAGGTTAAGCACAGGCAGGCAATCACTTTCCTCTCCTCTATTCTCCAATTACAGCTGAACTGTCTGCCTTTCTCCAGTTTAAAACTTGGAATGATCATTTAGGCAGTTGTATTCAGTGGCAATGCTTAAAAATGTGCACAAAAGCAGCTGAAACCGGTTCCAGGCACAGCATTGGCTAGAA